AGGCTAGAATACAATAGAAGTAGCTTGGGAAGTCCTATCTTTAGCTGGAGCTCTCAGGTAGTGCCTGGGGCAACTAGAGGCCAGCAGGATTTTGAAAAATGAAAAGTGAAACACCATGGAAGATGGTTCTGCCTTCATGTGAAGACTGTTTGCCCAGCTAGCTATCCTGCCTGTGGTTCAGTGTTCCAGTTGTGCTGACCAGCACAACAGTGCTCTAGGTAATTTAGAGTGACATGCAAAGCTTTACAATGAGACTTGGCAAGTCCTTCAGTGCTGTCATTGGAAGAAGGTGAGAGGCCTGATATAAGAATGCACCAAAATCCAGTGGCTGAAGGTCCATTTGCTTCATGGCTCCAAGTGAAACAGTCTTTGATGTATTGCCCTTTGGCATGCCTTTACCTATTGAATCACTTTGTTAATGTAAGGGTCAGGTCACCCAGGCTCAGGGTTTCAAGTGCTTGCCTTCAAGAGTTAATTCCCTTGTGTAGAACTTCTCCTGAAACAGTATGCGTTGGCTGTGGCTGGAGATGGGATGCTGTAGGGAAAAATGGTGGCTTCATATGGCAGAACATCTCTTCCTTTCAGTTCTGCAGTTGTGTGTCTGCTTAGAGACTGCATCAGACCAGAAGGCCAGGGCTGTGGAGGGACTTTCTGCTCGGGTGCCCTGGCAGTGATCTTTGGGGTTATTGATTCCTTCTGCAGCGTGGTGTGTATGCTGCGTTGGGATCAGGTGCGTGTTTTTGGTCTACTCAGCTTTTTGTCATTGCTAGCCCTGTGCCATGTCCTGCCTTTCCCTCTGACTTCCAACAATTCAGTCTTAGGGACTGACAAGATTCTGGTTTCCTTTTCCCTCTTCACATGGAAAAATGTTCTGGAAAGGTTAACTATGTTTGCTCACCCAACTGTCACTATTGTATGGGTGTTTGTTGGGGAAGGAGAGAGCAGATAATGATTACATATTCCAGTTCTAGGCAACATTTTGGAATATCTTGGCATTGATCTTCCAGTACTCAATTGGTTTTCAAATAATGTGCCCGCTTTGTGGGAAGAATTCCTTATGTATCTTGCTTATGAAATTCAAGAACTCTGCTCTCTTCATTTCCAAAGCTGCTGCAAATGCCTAAGCTGAAGGAAATTTGTACATTTCTTTAAGTACCAGACTTTGTAGGCAGTCCAGAGATAAAAGCACAAATGCTGCATCTTAATTCAAAAAGGTGTGATAAGTTTGGGGATTTTTCATTGCTTTCATTCCTTTCCTTCCAGTGATTAGAGACAAACATTTCATAGAATAGGCTGATGACTGGTGGTTGGACAGAGATCAAGCAAATCTAAGACTGTTTCTTTTGAGAAACAGATTTCTAGCCACTAGAACACCTATTTGAAGTTGCAGCTGCACACCTTTCTTTATTTCAGCAGTTAGGTTATTTTAGTGAATCATTTGCTAATTTTCTGTAGTACAATTGCTTGGTAGAAAATATTTTTAGAGAGACATGACCTCTTGGAAGCTCGTGAGTGCAGCTTACGACCAGTCTGTTCCTGTGACACATGAAATACATCCTAATCCACTAAGGTCAGATGGATTGGACACTTGCTCACAAGGGCAGGGTCTGCAGCCAAAAGAATTTATACTGATTAAGTGCTTTTTAGAACTCTTTGCATGAATTTCTAACCTTTAAATAAGTCACCCCTTGGGAGATCACTGATGACACAGCCACTTGTCTCAAAATTCAGCCGCTTGATCTTTATTGAACTTGATGAGCAAACATTTAAATGATAATTGAGACACTAATTAAATGCGGTGCCTGTTCTCCTGGTTGAGAATTGAAAGGAAAGACTAAATTATTTAATGACAATTTGGGGGATTGCAGGTCCAGATCTTTAGCAGACTTGGAAGAAAGAAGGGTTTGTTCAGATGTTTGAACTGTCTGCTGCTGCTGCCTAGTGCTCAGAACGTCACAGTTGATCCCCTGACTTTACAAAGGTATCAACTAGGATCCCAGTCACCACAGTTTGCTGCTGAGTGCCAGGATATTATATTTGCTCTGGTGAGCAGAATCGAAGTGTGGGACCTTGGCTTTGTTTTGCCTTTTCTTATCATTTTCATTGTGCAATCTTGACACTATTACCTGTCTGCATTTGGAAGTTCACATACCTTTTTAAAACATGAGCTGGTTCCTGACTGCAATCAGATTGTTTAATTTTGTATTTCAAATTATTCTATATTTCTTTAATATCAATTACTAATAAATTAGTTGCTTCTTCCTACATTTCCCTACCCTTTATCGCTGTTCATGTGCAACCCTACATTTCTGCTCTTTTTCCCTGTAAACATACTTATGGCATCTGTTAAGGTGTGAGGTTATTAGGCCTAATCAAAATGTCCCAAGCTCTTTAGTAAGTCACATGTTACTGTATTCACAAATGACTTTAGGTGACTATTCCTCCCAGTGCAGTCACGTACCACTGCTACCCTGTCCAGGAAGCAGAAGAGTGAAACACGTGCTTGGCACTTCCACAGGGATCTCTGAGGTAGGTAAAAATTTCATCACTGCCAGTGATTTGTGCCCTGTGCAGAACAGATTTGTTCAACAGGCCTGCACAATACTTATGAGCTTGGTACAGCGCCAGTTCTGCTTCCTCCTTTCCCATCCTTTCCGTACCGACAGTGTGCAGCAGATCAATTTCCTTCACTGGAGGGAGTCAGGAACTGCTATGGGAACAGATGCTAGGGAAGCAGATGGGGCAAGAGTTGATTTGGAGCAATGACAACTCCGTAACCTTTCAGCGTCAGCCCGAGATTGCGACTTTCCCTGTATTCCCCAGCAGAAGGCGAGTCCGGGCACAGGAGAAAGCACAGGCTTAGCACTGCACTCCAGCAGTGGTAGGTGGCAGCTGGCATTTTTGAGCACAGCATCCTGGCCCTGGAAAGGCAGTTTCTGCTGGAGCAGGGCTTTTCCTGTGTTAGAAAGGAAGTACCTCAGGCTTTTTTCAAAAAATGCGGCCATGTAGAGCCTACCAGCCCAGCAGCAATATGAACTCTTGTTTCACACGTGCTGAAACAGAGACTCTTTGTCAACTGATCAAAAGTTTCTTCTTTGATAAGGGACATTGACTCCCATGCTGTTTTGTAAAACTGAGTGAGAAGTGTGTGTCCCTGGCCACCCAGGAGGCCCAGGGCAGAGCAAGGTGTGACACAAAGATGCACAGCCTCCCAGCCACACAGCTGACACGCAGCTCCCCATGTGGAGCACAGCTGGGCTCTCCTCCATTTACACAGAGGGAAAGGCAGCGGTTTTGTTCCTCTTTGTCTTTTGTTAAGGGGCAAGGGGATGTTTGGTGTTTGTGTTTGCACATTTTGGAGGAAAAAAAACCCCAAACAACAACAATAAGGTTCTCCACCATGATTTATTTGGATGTTTCGTAGTATAGTGGAGAACTTCAAAATCCTAAGGACAAAAGTCTTCAGTAGCAGAATTAAATTTGCTCTTTTGGCTAGGTAAAATCCCATTTAAATGTTCTCAATTGAAAATCAGGATTTAAAACATTTAATAAGGCTGCAGGGAGTTCCTTCTTTCAAAGTATGTATCCCAGATACCCAAGGTGGTTTCTTCAATATATTACAATATATCGATTATGGCAAACTATGGGGTTAAGGCCAAACAAGTGCTTTTTGGGTCACACATTTATTCTTTCTGGTGATTGATAAACAAGAAGATTGTTAAGATTAAGAAGTACTTTGCCTTTTATTTAAAAATGTGCTTCAGACCTGTCCAAGTGACCATCAAAATAATTTATGTCTTTTCAACCTGAGTTTTACCTTGAAATATGTTTTAGTTAATGAAATTTCCTCTTCTGAAGTTGAATGACTGTTAACACAGAATCTGACTCAAAAGCTGCCTTCCTATGCATAATTTACTTATCAGGGAGACAATTATAACGTATTAGCACATACCCGAAAGATGCTTGGTCCCATTGTGATGAGAGGCCTTAAGAGCAATAGCATGGATGTGATGGCACCAGAAATAACATGGATGTAATTGTATATTTAGTGCATTTGTTCACAGAGCTCCCAAAAATTTTATTAAGTGACTGTCACTTGAGAAGCAACAGAAGAGCAAAAATAAATGACTTTGTACAGCACATCTTGATTTGCTGTATTACTCTTCAATGTAAAATTTTACCTTGTGTCTCAGGACCACGTGAATCATAGTGAGGGGAAGCTGACAGCTTCCTAATGCTCTTTTTGCATGAGCCTGTCTATCCCTTTTCCCTCCATTCATCCAAAACTAAACAGGAATCCAATGAGGTACTTGGCAGAAATGCTTTTCTGTATATATGTATACAGACCTAAATCAGAGACTTTTTATAAGGTACTGTGCGTTGGGTGACTTGGAATAAAAGTACTGTTCAGCTGATGGCTCGTGCTGGCAGTTCCTGTCATCTGTGTCAGCCGTCAGGTTTCTCGTGGTGCTAAGTGGAAGGTGAATGCCAAGTGGGCCTGTGTGTGTTACCAGCTGTCAGGCTGAACTTGAGAAACACGATTAAGGTATCTCCCTGCAGGAAGCTGTTCTGTCAGCTGGATCACAGCGTGGAGATGCTGTGATTTTCTGTGGTGGACAAAGGCCAGACTCCTCTGAGGAGATGTGGTCAGAGCAGAGCTTTGCAGTCCGCTGCAATGTCGAGGTTCCTAATGTGACACTTGTCACCAGCCAACTGCACATTCTCCAGGATGGGAGAGCAGTTCTGAGAGTTAATGCAATATTAGCACAATATTACAATATATGTCACTGTCACATGTTGGGCAGCTGTAGATTTACAGCTTAAGAAAAGATCAGTATCTATTGCTTGAGAAGGCTGATATCAGCTGATAAAGCTGGACTGTGTCATTATGAGAAGTCTGGTCTCATCTAAAACAGTTATGGAGCAGCAGGGATGGGTCAGCAGTTGGCAGTTTGGAGAAGAGTGTCACAACCTATGAATATGTTTTCTTACATCATTAGTGCAAAGAGACAAAGATGAAAACCAGCTGATAGGATACAGGCAACGATTACAGAGGAAATACTGGATGTTGGAAGAGTGGAGGGAAGCGATGCCAAGGTCCAGAACACCTTTGGGTGCTGCAACCACCTGAAACCTCCTGAAATCGCTCGCCACTGCTCAAACCACTTTTAATAAACAGGTAACTAAAATTCAAGCACTTCCTTTGTAACGCCTTTTGGTTTCAGAAAAGTCAATCACTGTCTGACAGTTCGGTGGGAGGTTATTCATCCAGGATTGCTTCACTCCTTCATGGAGGTGCTTGGTGAGCTGCTCTGCATGCTGGCAGGCTGCTTCAGCCAGGCATTTACAGCCAGCCTACAAGTGCCACCTGCTCTGTTATAATCCTTGCCTCGCTGAAGTCGCCAGCATCTTTCTACTTGATCTGCAGGGAAGCTCCCTCGTGTTGAACTTGGCTGCTCTTTTACGAGAGTAAGGGTTTGAGGAGCTGTTTGGCTCAGTAGCACTTGGCAACCTCAGGAAGCGAAGGCGTTCAGCTGGGCAGTGGACACACGTTCGTTCGAGGGGGGCTGCTGTGTGCCCCACCCTGCAGTGTCAGCTCACAGCGTGCCTGTGCCTCGGAGGCACCTGCTGTGCAGCTGACACAGCCCTCAGGCATCAGGCAGCTGGGGAAAGTGCCACAGGAGCTTTAGCAAGAAAACACATAATAGCCAAAGTCAAAGAGCAAATTGAGATATAGTGGGGGAGGCAGCTATTATGTTCTAGCTCTCTTTAAAAACAGTTCTGAGACGTGTAAGGTATTGTGTTGTGTTTGTTGCTGGATTTAAGACCGCTGACTGCCAAACAGTGAAGGTCACTTTGTGTTTCCTTCTTTAAGGCAAGTTGCTGCTGTTTATATTAACAAGGGAGCAGCAGTGCTGGCTAAATCCTGGCATGTTAACCTGCATCTCTCCTGGGGAGCAGGTCTCTGATGTGCTCCCTCAGGATCTGTATAGTTGGAGAGTTGTATATCATGTAGGTGTCAAGCCCAATCAGAGCTTCCTTGTCAGGATGTGTTAAGGCAGCTGCCTGCAATTTGTGTTACAGTGAGCATCTCTGCCAATAAACTACTTTTGCTCTCCCTTGTGCTGTGTCTGCCGTCTGCAGGGCTGCTGGGAGAGCTGCCAGAGGGAGAGAGAGCAACTGCATGCACAAAGGTGGCTGGGTGGCACCTCTTGTAATCTGTGTTCTGCACAATGTATTGACTGACTTTGTGGATGGATCCCAGGGGCTGAACACAAACAGCATGTACCAGAGCATGACATTTTAATCAGAGACAGGTTTAACTACTGGGAGCAGCTCAGGTAATGTCTACTTTAAAAAAAAAAAAAAAATTAAAGAAAATTGCACAAAAGAACAAAAAAAGGGTGTATGCTTGTGATTGCTTAGGAACTCTGTGTAGTTGTGCAGTTAAACATGAGATACAAATGAGTAGGTTGTGACAGGACCAAGAGCACTTTGAAGTAAAGCTGTAGTAAGTGCAAATTGGTGACACAAGTTAAGACACTGAAATAAGCTTTTTGCAAGCGTGTGTGTGCAGACACCAGGGCTAAGCAGTGGATCCTGGTCTACGCAGCACCATTCCTGCCAACCAGCTGTAAAATCACTTGGCTCAGGGGATAGAAAAGTGTTCATGCTGCAGGAGGTCAGGCTGGCAGGGAACTAGAGAGATTTAAAAGGAGGCGGCTGGAGTTTTCTCTGTATTTGCAATGATTGGGAGTTGTGAGAAAGGCGGAGCTCTTTTGGGGTTGGGTCAGCTCGCCCCACCAACACCTTGAGTAAGGGTTGAAAAATGACCACCTCAGAAACAGCAGGGAATGGTATCCTCCTCTTTAGCCTGTAACACACTGTGTAGCAGTGTTTCTGAGTTTGTGACACCCAGAAACGTAGCAGAGTTTAACCTTCTGTAGTAAATTCTCAGGGTCCCTGAAGAGCTCTGTTAACCTTGAAAATCTGTGTAGTAGGTTACTTTCTACCTGCAAAGTAGAAAGCACCGCTTATTCACAGGCATGAATGACACTGAGTCTGGTCCAGAGGCAGACTTGAAAGGACATCCATCTGCTGTTTGTGGGAATTTAACTGAGCAGAAACTTCTGAAATAACCTAAAACAGAGAGAATAGCAGAATTATTCCCAAAGCACTGCCTGCCTTCTAATTGCTGGCCACCTCCTTTTGTGAAAAGAAGTAAGAGAAAGAGTTCACACAAGCACGAGTGCTTGCAGACTTCTCTTTTGGGGAAAGCGGTTATCTTTCTTCTCTTGTTTTTGGACACTTAAAATGAGGAAAGCAACATATCGGACTGGAGAGAGAGAAAAACCAGGCAATGTTACCTTGGTATCCGATGATCAAAGGTATGACCCTCCTCTGCTGTGCCCTGAGAAGGCAGCAACTGTTTCCTGAGGGAACAGCACTTAGTTCAAAGCAGGAAATGTCCCTTCCCTCCCTGTGTGGCCACACGGACCAGGAGCTGCCTGCCTGCCTGCCTTGAGAGAGCAGTGCATTTAGCTTTTCCCAGTAGAAAAAGGGCAGCTTAACCAGTTATCCTCTGCCAATAGAAAAGAAACAGGGAGATGAGTCTCAGAGAATGATTATTGCCTGGGTAGTGGCATGGCTGGCACATATTTTCTTGCAAAGATCCAGTGGGCTACAGCTATTAAGTAGCAGGAACTTATAAAATTCATAGCCAGCTTTATCACTTGGCTTCCTTTCATCATTTTAAAAGTCTGAGATTTTGTTCTGACTACTGTAGTTTAAATACAGAACAAACCTATTTGTTCTTTTCATTCAACTACCATTTTACTGTGTGCATTTCAACACTCAAAATGTACTGGCTGCTGGCTGGCATTTCCATCATGTTGTAGTGCCTATATTCCTCTCCTGTTTCTAATGAGGCACAAAGTATAGAGAACATAAATGACAGGAAAAAGCTACAGTTTTTTTAATGACCAAAATCATATATATTTTAAATCTCTAGCCTGAGGTTACAGCACAACAAAGCAGGCAATGTCTCTTTCATCTGCAGTTTACTTGAAAACTAGGACTGAATTTCAGTCTCCCCAGGTGACAGAAAACAGCAGAGAGTCCCCAGTACAAAAGCAAAGACCCAGTCATGCACCATCCAGCACTGTGGAGTTGATGTGAGCTATCTTCCTAGAGTACCGTGATACCTTTCTTTGTAGGGGTAAAGCAGATAAGGGAAGGGCTGTCAGAGAGCCAAATGAGACAAAAGGAAATGAAGGAAAAAAAAACCTGAGTCAATACTGTGAAGATATTAGGGGAGGGCATTACAATATCTGATGTGAGAGATCTTATTTGGGACACACATAACATTTGCCCCAACCTCACCAGGCAAAAGGGTTGCACTGACTTTGCTGTCAGGAATGCTGAACAGCATTGGCTCATCTAAGTTCTTAATATACATCACACCTTTTGAATGAATTTTTGCACAGAACTCTAGGGCAATTTTCTGGGATGAGAATTATTTTTTGTCACCTGCAAATTGCACTTTTGTGAGGAGCTATACCGAGGAAAAAGTAGGTGAGATGTTGTTGGGGTGAGCTGGAGCACCAAGGCTGCACAGCTGACAAATGAGATTTCTGATAAGGAGAGGTGTAGAGGAAAAAAAAGAAGAAAAAAAGAAAAAAAGAAAAAAAGAAAAAAAGAGCCAAGTTCAGTTCCTGGTGATTCTAACAGATTGGTGAAATTGCAGGCTGTCATTGGGAAAATCCTGTTTCTCAGACAAAAATGGACAAGGGACACTGACATGAAAATGCCAGTGCAAGTCGACTTCTGAATTATGTTGTTAGGTTGAAGTAGTCTTCATTTGGACCTCAGCAAAGCATTAAGACAGTGTTTTTAGCAAGCTCATGGTTACTGTTTGCAATACAGTAACACTACAGGCATGTTCAAGACCCATTACACCAACTGCAATTTGCACAAGCAGAATACATTGAAGGTGTTGTGTAACTATGCATATATATGGGCGAAGGCCCCTGAGAACCATAAAATCAGTTTGGAGAGAGGAATGACAAGAAAGGGAATCAAAAGAATTGGCTCCTATTCCATCTGCAGAGTTGCACTTTAGGGAAAAAAATAAAATATCCAAAACTGAAAAAGAAATGCTACATAAAGCTCCAGGTTTCTCATCCCTTAACCCTGCATCCTGCCTATTTTACAGGAAAGTATTATTGGAAACGTCCAGTGGGAAAAGGTCCATGCAGTATCAGGATTTTTTTTGCTCTTTCTGGTGCATGGCAGAGTTGCTGTGTGATGATGGAGTAGAAGCAGCCCAAAGGCTTTTTGTATTTTCTGGACACACGGTGCTGGCACATGAATTTGTTCCTTGGGCTTGAACTTCCATTAAGTCAATGCATGCTGGGCTACTAAAAATGTAACAAAATTGAATTCGGGAAGGCGAAACCAATAAGAGATTTGCTGCCACCGGGAGTGTGAATCAGACCTTTTCTGCAGCAAAGTTGCAAACGTTGCCTGAATGTTGAGTGCACCGAGAGCTGATCACAGAGAGGGTGAACTTCTCCGCTTGGTTGCAGCTCTGATCTGATAGCTGGGGAGTACCTGTTTGTTCCTGTACTTAAGCAATTGTCTGCAAACTAGCAACAAAATGAAGTATCCACGATGCTTTTGGCAACTTTGAGGCAGGACAGCACGATGGGCGTTGCAGCTGTAGATGTATGCGCTGATATTAAGCAGTGCTTTTTGAGATAGCGTGCTGGATTTAGTTTGTATTTAAGTAAAGCTTTGGACTATCATTTCTGAGATATTTTCATGTCTACCTTTGATCTAAAATGTGTTAATCTAATGAGTGGGTAGAGAAAATGAGTTACTATGGGAACGATGTCTTTCTCTAACTTACTGCCCCAGCTGGCTGCTCTGGCAATCGAAGCACGCCGCGAAACGGAGCAAGGCCACCAGAGACAAACGTGCATTTCAGTCTGAGAGGGAGCTTTGGAGGTTGGGTTTGGGGTATGGAGGATAACAGCAGGCCTCTGGGAGTTGCATTGTGTGCTTAAAGCAAAATGAGAGGAAGAGGAGTGAGTTGACGTCTGACCGTGATAAGGAAAACCCCCAAAAGGGGGAGTCACCTAGTGGGAAGGAGATAGAGGCTCTGCTGCTGCATTTCTTGGGGTGTAACTGATAAATGATTAAGGACAGGTGTTAAAGCTTGAATCTTCTAAATCTATTCTGGTGGTAATTAATTAATTTTATAATTAAACAACTCCATGATCTGCAGTCGCCTCCTGTTTTCTGCTGCAGAATCACAGAAGAAACCATAAATATGAAAAGCATGGGTGTGTCTTCCTCTGACCTGGAGAGCAGTGGTTCCTGCAGTGGTGGCTCTCTGCCTGTGTGCTGTTGGCTGGGAAGCAGCATCCTGTATTGGTATTAAGTTTCCTCTGTTTGCACCTCCCTAAAATCTACTGCACAGTATGATGCAGTATGGAGAGGAAAAAGATGAGTTTCTTATTATTGCTCATGTAATTAAGGGGAGAACTTTTCTCTGAGTGGAAATGGTTTAATCTTCTCTTATTTGATTCCTGTCTTTGGTCTAGTGCCTGGATAAGGCCAAGAAAAAAACAGGTGAGCATCCTGCCTTAGCTCACTGCAGCATGTGAGCATTGGGTGGATGCTCACCCCAACTTCAACACTTACAGGTGAGCAGGAAATATTTTCTCTGGGCAATTTGTTTCTTTGATACCTTCATTCCTTACTGTCCAATATGTGTCATCTATTTTGCCTACTTTCTCAGGAAAAGGTTTGTACAACTTCTGTGGTTAAATAGAATCAGGATTCAAGTATTTTGATTTACTTTTTTTAAATAAAAAGTAATTGAAAAACAATCAGTGAAAAACATGTTCGAGATCAATATCGACAGTGTAAATCACGACACCAAACATTCAAATATTATCAAAGGCCTGCAACTTTCTGAATTTCTAGCCAGGTTTTGACTACCACTCTCCATTCCAATGTCTATCTCCAGAGCCACAAATTTTTGTACCTTTTTAATTTTTTTCAAGTTGACTCCTGCCCTCAAGGTCTCTTAATGTTCCCTTTCTTGCTTTCTAATCTGGCTGAGGGTCAGCCTAAGGAAGCTTCATCACTGCTAATTTCCTTCCTGCACTATGAGGTGAGACTTCTCAGCTGCAGGTCTTACACTGATGTAATTTACATCAAGGTTGCTCTCCTGGCTGCTGTCCAGTAGCATCCCTGTGGAGATCACCTGCCCTCAGACTGGTACCTGCCCCGTTTTTGTCACTGAGGGCCTTGCTGCTCCACCTACGGCTCAGGTGGTGCTCAGGTTTATCTGATTTGTGTCCCTGCAACTAGAACTTTGTCTCTCTGGGTGCAGTTTCTGAAGTTCAAAGTTCTGATTTTTATATGACTTGTTATTTGCTTATTTTGTATGTATGCATCCCTATTGGAAACCTCAGGGTGTTGTCTTTCAGCTCACTTGCTCATGAGTACCTAGCTGGGGTGGCCTGGGCTGCTTTTTCACGTCTCTTTGCAGGGAGGGAAGTTTCTCACTGTCTTTTGTGCCACAGGCACAACTCAGAGCTCAGTAGGGTCACACTATGCCTTTGAAGCAAGGATTTAAAACAACTGAGGCTGCTTTTCTTCCATTTTGAGCCTCACAGATGAAAACAATAGCAATAACTAAAGAACCCTGAGATGAGTTTTGCAATACTTGCCCTCCCAGTCTGCACAAGTGCAACTGCAGCATCTCCCTACCTGCCTTCAGCAACTGTGCCTCTCCACCTCTGGCACGTTCCCAAGCTCTTCTCCAGAGAGCTTTCTATGATGCAAAGAGGTCAATAATACAAATAATTAATGTCAAGTGGCTGTCAATAGATACTGGGTCTAAAAACATAGCACATGTAAACCCATATTAATTAATTGCATCCCACTGTGAAATTTGAACAGTAAGCAAATCAGGAGGGATGGTGTGGTGATAATGATCAATGCTTAGTTTTTCCAGAGAGATGTTGAGAAGCAGAGCAGCTTTGGCACAACTAAGTCCTTCCTGGAGTGGGTTTATCTCTCCCCTTCATCTGAAATAGAATTTTTAAATATTTGGTAGTTAATACCTGCTTTGCAGAAAGTTGAGGTGCTCGATCACAATATTAATATTTAAAATACAAACCCAGAAATTACATGGGAAAGCATCAAAGGAGAAATTATATTTTTATCTTGGCACACAGATTGCTTTCTCATGTGATCTGATCTACATTCTTGCTGTTTATATTTCATACTTAATCCTTGCATCTGGTGCATTTGGTCCAATCCAATCCTCTGCTCTCAGAAGCATTTCAGCATCTTCGGAACAAGGTGGAGGAGCAGGGATCTCATCCTGGCACACACACAGGCCTTGAAGGAGGTAATAACAAACAAGACGTGTCACTCAGACCAAGTCTCCAACTCAACCCTGCTAAAAAGAGCACATCTGAAAGATCTTTTTCATACTGACATATGAATGTTTGTGGGGTGGAAGCTGTTGGGGTTTTTTCTCTGATATTTGGAGCGCAGATATCTGATAGTGTGAGGTTCTCTGTGTTTCAAATTTTTTTTTGCAAATGGAACAGTGGAAGAAAGAGCTACAGGAATAAAAGTAAAAGCTTTAGAAAGGCTGTATTTTTTAATATACAAAGTAATCTCACTAGAAATGATCAAAGAGGAGACAAATAGGGAAACAGAGTAACATATTTTTACCTTTAGAATAATGCAGTTCTTTACTCCAGTGTAGAAAGTTTTCAATATAAGGGTTTTTTTCTTTGCACACTCAATCTAACCCAAGTCCAGGCTGCTGCCCACACCAGTCCTTGTCTCTCCTGCAGATTCCCTGTAGTTTCAGGACCCAGTGAGAGCACAGTGAGAACAATCTCCTTTCTGAGGGCAGTTTCTCAGGGTGGCAGGTGACCGCGAGCATCGGTGCAGGTACGAGGGCATGGAGCTAATGTGGTGCGAGGAAGCTGGAAGGGAGTGGGGTGGCAAAGCCAAGGGGAGAGAGAGCCTGGTATTGTGCTGCCCAGGGACCACCCTGCGCTGGATCAGGGCTGGGGGTGCATCACCTGAAGCTCTTCCCTTATCTAGCAGTGAGCATCATTTCCTAAGAGCGGGAACAGCTGGCTGGATGAGAGCTGGCTTTTCATCTCCGTGCCACTCGCAGCCCGGCACTTCCAAGGCAGAAGCTGTCCAAGTTCAGCAGCTAAGGAGAGAGGAAGTGCTGAGGGGTGGGATCCTGCTGCCTGGCCATGAGCATGCAGGAGTGTGTGAAATAGCACGTTCAAGCACGCAAATCCTGTTCTAAGGAACTGTGCTTTGTGAGAGGAAGGGCTGGGAATCACCACAGGTTTTCCCATGCATCCTCCTCGTGTTCTTCCTTTGAACTCCCTGGCTTCTGCAGAGGAAAGAGGACATGGCAGATATCCAAGAACAGCATTTTCTTCGTTAGCATCACTGTGAGAAGCTAATAGGTAAACATCTTGTACCTGGGGAAGGAAAAACGTAAAGGAAGAACAGGGAGAGGAAAAGAGGCAAGATATGTAGAAGTGTTTAAGAGTTAAGGAGCCTGCCTGTTAGGCGTCACTGAACTGGAAGTTGGTCTTGCTATGAATACAAGAAAAGTTCTCCAAACCAAGATCTTAACTTTGGTCATGCCAGATACTCTTCCAGCCAAGCAGTACAATTTGTTGAGCACAACAATTTCTCACAGATTACTCTGCGGAGTCCCTTTGGATTCTGAGAAACTGAGCAGTCTTTCCTCAGTCTCTGGTGGAGTAGCCAGTGTTATCAAAACATGGTGAGCTGCAGTAATTCCTACAATTACTCATGACTGATTTATCACTTGATTGTAGGAATTCAGTATAAATAGATTTTTTTTCCCATCTCCCTTGCTCCCTAATTGATTATTTTTTTGAATGCTGAACCTTTGAGTTTCTCTCATAAAATAGATTAGAGTCATTATAGCTGTGTGCTTTTTAATCATTCTGCAGTATAATTACTGTTGCTGCTGTTGTCTTCTGGTTTACTCTGTTTCTTTATTAGCAGCTCTTATTGCCAGAAGCTTTAAACATTTAATAATCTGTCAAGGTGGTAATTTGTTGGGGTTTTGTTTTCTGTTTTTAACTTGAAGAGCTTTGCAGGGATATCTTCAAGCACCTGGTCTGCCCAGATGCTTTAATATTTGCTTATCTCTGTCTAGTTGGCCTTGTGGTGTTTTTAATTGACCTTCTTCTGGATAACCAAAGTTACCCATTCATCACATAGAGAATGTAAGTCAGTCGCATGTAACTGTATCAGGCAGCAGGAAAACAGACCCTCCAGAAACAGTAATGAGGCTGATGGCCAGAGATGACACATAGGCTGTCTGTTGGCACCAGCAAAAGAACTTTATTGCAGCCTGATACAGCATTCACAGTAAATGCAGGCTGTAGTGGTTTTCGTAATGTGGAGGGATTACACCACCATTTCTTGTCTTTGGGATTTCAATTCAGGGTCCCTGCAGGAACACAGCCATCCTTCTCCCCGAGTTCCCATAGGCTTTTCCTATGCAGCATGCCAACATGGAGCATCTTGCCTTTCCCAAATGCCAGGTGAAGCCAGAGAGTTCACAGGTAAAAGGCTCTTGGACTGCAATTCTTGCTGACCTGAGTGTAAGCTGCAGGGCTGTGGCTCCCCAGGGAGTCCTGTGGGGCTGCTCCTCAGCAGCTGGTGTGTCCCTCAGCCTTCACCCATGGCTGATGGGCAGGACTGATGAAGGAGGGCAGTTTGCAGCAGTGAGGACAGCAGTCTCCTCTGGGGCCAGAGCCATGAGCTGCAGCACTGCCCAGTTCTCACGGAGTGCACAGCCAGGACACCCTGTGTCCCACCGGGACAAGGCACGGGTGGCTCTGCTGCAGCAGCTGCTCCTTACCCAAAGCACCTGCTGGAGCCATCAGCCTGGCTTCTGCACGTGCCCCTGGGCCCACACCGTGGGCATGGGGGCTCAGAGCTGGGGCAGCACTCTGCAAGGCAGCTTTTCCTGTGCCCGTGAGGTGATCAGAGACTGGACAGCATCAGAAAGGGCTGGAGGATGTGAACGGTTTGGTATAGATTACTGAGACAGGTGACACAGTGGCCTGTCGGTAGGTAAATGACTGTGGTGGTGGGAAAATGCTCAGTTCTCCCCATCCTCAGGGAGAGTGGGTTTCCCTGCACTAGAAGTAAAACTAAAACTTCTCGGTGAGGAAAGATGGTGAAGCTTGGAAGCAGAGTGTCCAGGGACCTGGTGGCATTTCAGCTGCTGGTGGTTTCAAAAGAGTGCGCGTGACACAAGAGTGTCACAGTGACACACAGAGGATGGGATCCTCCCTTCTGGCAGGGCAGCAGGTCAGGCTGCCTCTTAGTTCTCTTACCCCTCCCACTTTCTGAGTGTGGAAGTGCAAGCCAGAGGGAACAGAAATGCCAGGATTTGCACATGCTAGTCTACCCTAAAGATGGAAACAAAAACACAAAGTTGGGTTGTGGTTTTGACGTACACAGAAAAGAATAAAATCCAAAGGAAGACAGCAATCATTTATGACTGAAAAGAAAGAAGAGTACAAAATTACTTTTGAAAAATAAGGTATTTACTTATATTTTAAATATCATCTTACAGATTTATATTATCTTCACTTTATAGTTGTGTGTTGGGGAAATGGTTGCTTTACTTTTTCCTAGCGTTCCTTCAACCACTTTGAGGTAAGCTTTTTCATTAATGGAAATGACTGTATTTCTTTTAGCACTTTGTCTGTGCCTTATTTCATCTTGTCAGAGAAAAGTGGAAGATATTAATTCTTGGGGTTTTTCTTGTCTATATGATAATCCAGACAAGATTCTGACAATTTCAGTACAATAGCCTCCTCTCAGGAAAGCTTTGATTGCACTAAAATATACTCTGAAGTGCTAATCTCTTAACCTTCTAGAGTTCATTATTTGGACAGATAAAAATTGAGTTTAAAATTACCTAAAAGGTCTTCTTGCCAAGATATAATCTAGTTAAAATTTTTTCAAATTGAATTATGTGGATTGTATACCATGTATTGATTAAAGAAATCTTCTTAATGTAGTCATATAATAAGACTCTTGACATTATTTTTTTTTCTCCTTTGATGGAGTTGGTTTTTAACAGAAGCTTCAGCATTTTGTTCTGTAAAACTGTCACCATTTTGATGGCTTCTTAGCTGGACAAGGCTTTGACCTCTGGACCAATTCTACATTTGAGGAAAACACAACTGCAAAATTATCTAGTCTAGTGCCACTTGTGAAAAAAATTTCTCATATTACACTGACATGAAGAAGCTGAAGGCTGCTTTGGACTATGTCCTGAAAGACTGATTCAGTGGCCTTGATTCAAGATGCATCCTTTGCACTTTTAAAATCAAAATTTTGGTAAGTGCTGCTGTCAAATGTCCTTTTTTCCATCATAATTATAATTATAATTCAGTTCTTTTTCAGACTGGAATGAAATCAAACAAAGGAATAGTTAAATACATGAGAAAACACATTCAGCTATTACTCATGTTTCTGGCAGGTGGGCAAAAGAGTCAGGCAAGTTGAAGTCAAGAGCTGCTCTGTGGTGTTGGATAAAGGGAAGGGTCCCAACTTTATCACCGCCTTATCCAGTCCCATCCTTGTTTTGTGGATGTGTAAACTCTACAGCCACAGCCCCCTGTCAGTGTTTATGTCCCTGGGCAGTGTTTTAAGTCTTACCATGGACCTTAAAATGAAATTTGAATATGCAAAAGCATGAGTCTTTGAACTCTGTGTGACCTCCTCCAGTTGCTTTTCTTTTTAAAAAAAGGTGATTTCAATAGTGATACTGGTTTTCTGACGCTCTGTAGCTCGTGTACAAAAACTGCTCATCAGATTTGATTGAGGGGGAAGGGAATAGGTACAAAAGGGAATGTGTTTAAAAGAAGAAAAAGGAAAAAAATATTTTGGGGGGGTTATTTCTTAAGTGTTGAAAATATCATACAAAAAAATTTTCTGCTTGGCAGATCATAGTCACTTAATTGAGACAATGACTTGGTTTCAGTAATAATAAAAATTTAAAATTCAGTTGTCCTTTTCTTTTAAAAGATATTTTGTGGCAAACCTGAAGTTGACAGTATTTGTTCGATTCATTGTAATTACTAGAAATGCTTCATCTATTCAGAAGCTTTCGTGACACCCCCAGGGACTGCTAGGCTTTAATAAAAGTTGTTTTTATCTCTGATTTTTCTCTCAGATGATTTCCCCTTTTCTTTTCTCACCATGCCTAGATTTTGCTCTTACAGTGTTAATTTTTTCACTTGAAAAGGTAACCGTGAAGCAACGGTGTTTCATATCTTTTATCTGAATTCCTAGGGTCCAATTCTTATGTAGAACTAAGCTATTTCTTGTTAAAATAATGTTGCAGGTTTGCTGCTGAACAAGCTGAATCAATCAATAGTTCCTGTTTGATAGAGTAAATAAATGATGTTGTGGTATGTGATAATCTCTGAGTTTTCCCACCACCTAACAGAAGGCTCGTACTGACGTGGGAGTGTGGAAATGGAGGAATTGACAGGCCCAGACAAATGAACAATTAAGTTGGTGTACTGAGGTCTGTGGCAAGGCAATAGAATAAGGTAGAGAACGTGCCTGGAATATCAAAATCTTACATGCTAGTTTAAAGTGTCCCAGGAGAACTGCTGGACACATACTGCATGAAAAGCAAGTGATATTCTTGTTCCAGCAGATTAAGTTGCTTATCAGCAGCCTAAAACTTAGAAATATGGGAAAATGAGCCCAGAAAAAAAGGATGTGTTCGGAAACATACAACATATACATGTGTTTGGAAGAAAAAAGAACATATGTGTATATATTTCTAAAGCAATAATCCATTTATTTTCAGGAAATATATTCTGAATCAACCTGTGGTCAAAGAGAAAGAGGCCTGAGGGGTTGCAAGAGGAAAGTACGGCAGTTTCCAGCAGCAGGTCCCTTGCTCCCAAGTTGCAGCCTGGTTGGTAGTGCTGGTAAGTTATACAAGTCACAGACTTCAAATGTCACCATTATCCAGCCACATCTGCGGCGTCACGAGTGGTAAAATGACAAAAAGAAGTGGATATACCCACAGTATCTCTTGCTTCTGTTTTACAACTACACTGTAAAATGTTCTATTCTATTAGTTCTTTTTTAAACAATTTCCCATGTCAGGAAAAGCAAATGTGTTACCGACATAATACACTGCCTTGCACCTCCAGTTTGGACAGAAGAGATGCATCAGCAAGTGCTTGAGCAGATGTAAAAGCACTGCTAAAGGAATGGACCCAAATGAGGATCTAATTTCAATTTTGGGGTAAGTTAATGTGTTTGCTTTGGGATTACTTTTTTTTTCCTTCTGAATGTATTTTTTCCCATAATGCCAATAAACTGCAAACAGGATGATAGAAAACAAACTGCATTGTGAGTCATAAAAAGGATTATTAACTAAATACCAATTGTAGGATCTACACTGCCAATGTGTGAGCCAGAAAGCACATCTTGACTGTACAATTTTATTTCTATTTTCGAAGAAGCAGCAGTTAAAAAAATCATTATCACTTGCGTCTGAGCTGATCATGTTTGATTTGGATGTCACTGGGATGCAATAAACAGGAAACCCCAGGGTGCCATTTTACTAAGACAGTTTTCAGAGAGGAACCACAGTTTCTGCAGCAAAGCACTGCTGATTTACATGGATTTTCTTGTCACATGTTTTGGCAAAATGTATCAGCTTGTGCTTCTTAGCATCAACAAATAATACTTGACTTGCAAACGAGCTCCTGGCAAGTACCCAGCCACAGGAGGCTTGGAGACTTGACTGTATAAAAAAGACTTGCATTTCACCAATTTGTGAACTGGCACAACCCCTGCCATGGTCGTTTGGAGCTGCTCTCTGATCCTTGCTCTTGATTCTTGGATATAGAAGCTATTTAGCCTGTTAGCTTTTACCAAATTCCAAGCAATGAAAATTAAACATTTATTTTTTCAATTTCCATGTAAATGCCTTGAAGGGCTCTCAAGTTCATTTGTGCTCTCATGTTTGAAATTAATCTTTTCTACCATGTGACACTGGTATCTTTTCCCTCACTTTGTAGGCCTTTCAAAATGTTCACCTTTTTTAAAAAAAAAAAAAGAAAGAAAAAGACAGCTTACTTTGTATTTTTCCTGTGCAGTCTTCTTGTTCATAATGAGTTTAAATATAAGGAACATAAACCCATCTGGAAATAAAAATTATGCACTAGGTTCACTTAAAAAAAGTAATTACATTATAATCAAACTGTCACTTTATGAGATAGTGGGAGATGAAATACACCATAAGCTGACAAAAGAAGAGGACGACTTGCTATTTTAAATATCACACATGGTACAAAGCAGTTGAAGAAAACCTGAAGTACATACAATGTAATCAGGAAAGCACTTGGAGCCGGGAAGGTAAAACTCAGCACTAGGACCAGGGAGACAGACAGGCTTTCTCCTGGTGGAATGGGGAACCTTCAGCCTTATGCAGCTCAACACATGTGCAGGCTACTACTGTCCATGGACTGACAGTCCAAGGGTGTTTGGACACAGCATGGAAAACACTGGCCTGTGATTAGGAAACACACTGAATTCACACGTTGTGTTTTGCACAGACTTCCAATCTGCCACTGTGGCAGTTCTTGAGTTACTGTCCCTGTTCACCTTACTCAAAGGACATGTGCCCCACCAAGCTGTCAGCCTGTATTCAGCAGGGGCTGATTCCTGCCTCAGGTTAGACATGCAAGCCAACAGGGAAAATCTGAATGTGTAAGGAATGGTCTTTGTTCATGTTTTGCTGTTTCCTGTGGCCCCTTCAACCTGCCTTGGTGTGGACGGAAATGCCTCAGTTTGAGGTGAAATTCATGGCCCTGTGTAGCCACTAGATGGACAGCAACATTCAGGTGGGAGTGTCCTTCAGACCATCGTCATATTTGCCTCCTGAAGTATTTCTTTGAGGTTTGAATCTGTTCCCTGTTTTCTGTCCTCTGTCAGCAGGGGATCCTTTTCACCAGCAGCCCCGGCAAAGATCCTCACACTGACACTCGAGAGCAGGCTGGTGGCGAGCGGTGGACATGAATGTGGGGCACAGGGACAGACAGAGGAGCTGGTGATGTGATTTTGGATGCAGCCTTGTCTTTCCAGCAGGAACCATGGAGGTGACAGGTAGGCGACTGCAAGTTTATTCTCATGGATGGACAGAAGCTGGTGGAAGGTTGGTACCCAGGAGAACAGCTCTTGCTGCCAGTAATGCACTTAATGAAAGAAAAATTAGTTCTCACAAAGGGGCTTTCTTCTGGTAACTGAAAAAAGCTTCAAGAACATGAATGGATTGAAATTCCTGGGTTTGTAGTCTGATTTTGTTTCTGTTCTAGAGATAGAAATGGTGACATACTGGGATGTCTATGCTGTGGAAGTGACACACCTGATACCTTTATTCAGTGCCTTGCTTTTCTCCTTTCATGCTATGAATACAGTAACAGAACAGCACAGCTTGCTGTGCTGGCCAAGCGTGGTATTATTTTCTATATGCAGTGGTTAAGACTTCCTTACACTTTGTGTATTCATGACACATATCTATCTGGCAGGGTACTGAGAGACTCAGGAAAACAGAAGGTGGGGGAGCCCACTGGAGACTTCCAATACTACAGCTTGCTTCTTCAAATTTAAATCCCTAATTTGTTTGAGTACAATTAATTTATTTTTTTTCCTAATAAAACTGGAAAGATTTCAGTTCCAAGAACATGAACGTGAAATGAAACTTCGTCAAAAGAAATAATAATAAAACCTTGTCCAAATGCCTATGTAACTGCGTAGCCTCTGTTTTGACAGAAATAGCTTTTGTCAGAAAGAGCTTTTGACAGCAGCTCTCCCCAGATAAAAGTAACAGTTTTATAGCTACTGTTTTTAACTTCTGTCACCAAATCTCAGCACAGGCAACCCCACTCATGGAGTGCCAGCAGTGGATTGCTGACGGGCTGTAAATTGTGGATTGAAGGCCTCATGGGCTTACATTTAGCATCGTCCTCGTTTCATGTTACGCTGCTGTTCCTGCCAGTAGAGCTGGTTAAAATGCCATAGTATCCTTTACATTAAATTCATGCTCCTATAGCCTCCTTTATCATGCAAGGTGTGCAAGATATTTCAAATTAAAGGGGGGAGGGGGGGAAAAAGCAAGCCTCAAACCAACCAACCAAAACAATCAGTATTCTCATGTCAAAAGATACAAGTAAGGCTTTCTTGATTTTGACAGTGCCGATATTTTCATGAGGTCACTGTGGCTTGATGAGTATAACAAGGCTGTTTGGAACAGAAACTGCACCGATCCCAGGGTCTTGGGCAGTCTCAGCTTTCCCCATTTTTGTTCTGCTGCAAGAATGAAGGCAGGGATGCTGGTTCATGTCCATGCCCACCTTGCTGCACACATCAAGGCTTGCTGTTCAAACCTTGGATTTGTAGCAGAGCCATGGATGGAATTTGTGTTCCCTGGTGGATTTGAATCCTTAAGTAAGTTGGAGGATTAACATGTGCCACACGTATTCACTCCTTTTGGGACCCATTGCTTCTCTGGCTTTTTCTGCTCATATTCAGATTGACCTGAACTTGCAACAGATGCTGTAAAAAAGGCTCCTAAATATATCAAAATAGATCTGATGGTGCTCTTGTTCTTTGGGGGTTTGGAATTTTTTTGTTTGTTGGTTGGTTTTTTGTTTTGTTTTGGGTGTTGGATTTTTGTTGTTGTTGGTGGTGGTGGTGGTTTAGGGTTTTTGGGGGGTGTATTTTGTTGGGGTTTTGTTTCATTTAAAAAAAAAAAAAAGCTGTTTAAATAGCTGGGGCTTGAGTTAAGTTGTAAGGATCTGTTTTGCTATAGGTAAGCTTTGTTGCTTCTGCAGAGAAATCTGAATCGAAGAAGAGTTATGAACTTTTAGATAACAAACAAAACCTTTGAATCTAGTATTGTTTAGCTCTAGCACAGAATTATGTAAGGCTTTTACTTCTGCTCCTAACCATACACAGAAGGCATTTTTTTCAAAGCTAGCAAGCAGCTTTGGAAATGGTGTCAAAGACTTAACAATAAATGTTCTCTCTGGCTTTTGATTTAGCCTAAACTAGTCATCATTAGAGTCTCATAAACAACAACATCTTTCTGCTATTGAATCTCCTTGCCCTATGAAGATCATAGCAATGCAATAATTTAGCTGAGATAGATGCGACACTGTAAGGCCAAACTATGTTTTATCTGCCTGCAGCAGCTGCTGCCTAGCAGTGTAAACACTATGCATGATAAAGAGGAAAATACTAATTTTCTAAAAAATGAAGGCTTTGGGTTTTTTCAGAAGTGGAGTCATGGAGGTGTGCAAAGACAAAATGACCCATCTGGGCCTGGAGCAATGTTCTTGGGATGTATCCCAGCTCTGGATGAAAGTAGGTGATGCTGCTGATCCATCTTAACTTGAAAATAAGAGTGGCAAAATGACTGTAGCTATCTAGGGAGTTTGCACACAGGCTGTGAATTCTGGCCTGACTCAATGACCTTGTTTTTATATCTTGATAATGTTATTAGTTTCTTTTCTTTCTTTTTTTGTTTGTTTGTTTCCTCCCACAACACCCTCTCTTGTGTTAATTCCTTCACCTGCTGTTCTGAGTGTAAAACAGACACCTGTGGATGAGCTGGTCTGTTAAGATCTTTTTGGGGTCTGAGGTTTTTTCCTGATCCTGAAAGAAAGAGAAATATTAGAGCTTTGTATTCCTTCTCTGTAGGGGACAGGGCACAGAGTCTCTGGCACCACAGCATAAAGGACTAGACTTGCTTAAAATGTACTAACAAAGCAGTATTACTTTCTAGTAACTGGATGCATTTTCTCCATATTTTTGTTGGAGGTGCTACAGGTCCCTCAACTGTCACCAAAGGTCTATGCTTTTCATAGTAACCAGCCTTGCAAGTGCTAGTCTTTTGAAAACTGAAACCTGCATCCCCATTTTTGAAATGGCTGAGCATCTCTGTCTCTTTGGATCATGTTGCTCTCCCCTTCTCCATCCACCCCAGCATGACTCTGAGATTGCTTTACTGTCCATTGTCTTTACAAGAGCCCTTGTGAAGAGTGGTGAGGCTGGTAACTCACATAGCCTCTTTTTGGTTTTTTTTCTTCTTCAAGCATGCTGGGACTGAGGAAAATTAATATCACACTTCTTATGAACCTGTCCTTATGGCAGATGCAAACCCTTCTAAAAGCATGTCAAAACAACTTGTTTAAGTGTGGCGATTTGCTAAAATGTAATAGAATGGAAAACAGGACAAAATCATACGAAGACTTGCAGGAAAAGAGCTTTGGCTGTATTTGCAATCTCAAGATTTTAAATAGAATATCAGCTCAGAGGTGTGTGGTGAGTTGTGATTGCAGAGAAAGCAAAGAGCAAGGCTTTAGGAATCAATCTCTGACACATTTAAAAAAATCCATCTCTGCAGTGTCTTTGCCTGTAAGAAAGCTGCCTTCCATGTGATCCCCACTCTTCAAGCAAAGGCAGCAAGGATTGTTGATCTGAATGAAATAAATCACTGATCTTAATATAATATTGGAATGAAATATGCTCTAAAATTCAACCTGTGTAGGCCTAAGACTCTTGGTAGGTTTCCCTTGTTCAAATGAGAAGCTGCTGATTTGTTTGCTTATATTTCTGCTGTAATCATCCTTGTCTTGGTAAAAACACATCATTCCAGTTTTTAGTCTATAGGTTAAAGCCAGAATGCCTAATTTTATTAAATAAGGATTTTATCCTGATTATAAATCAGGGGGTTTTCTGTCTCGTTGTAAAATGCTCATGGCTTCATTAGAAACAATGTGGGCTCTTTACACTCCTGACTTGACTTAAGATGGATGTGTAATGCAAAACAATAACAGTGGGAAAGGCTCTCCCATTCTCACCTAATGCATCTGGTGAAAGGAAACCTGCTTCATTATAGGACCTAATAAGAAGTTTAGGTAAAAAACCAAAGACTTAAAAAAAAAAAAAAACTTTATTTTTTTTGCATGGCTACAAAATTTCTTGATCCTTTTGGTCCACATTGGCAACGAGTTCTTGTGTAATGTAAATCCTATGACGCAACACATCAGTTCTGACCTTAGAAATAAGCAAAAAGAAATAAGTGGAAACTTGTCCACAATAACATTTAATCTAATTATTTGTTATGTTAGGACTTAATCTATTTTGTCTGTTGTTCCAGTGGAGTCATTGCCCTGCATGCCCAACCCAAATTTCCTAGTAGAAAGTGGCACTCCCCTAGAGTTTGGCAAGTGTCTCCAACTCTACTCAGAAGCCTGTGCTAACCCTGACCTTATTGTTATTCTGATACAAACTTAAGTTCTTTTTCTCCACAAACCATATCTGACCAAGGTGGGGGGGTTTGCGATTAGTTATCTATAACAATGCAAAGAGAAGAAATAAGTCCAAAATCTGAGGCATATATGTATTTGATATGTGGGTTTATGGGGTTTTTTGGGGGTCAGATTTCCCTTCCCTTCAATGCTATTAATTTATTTGATGAACCTCTTAGTTCAGTCTTGCCAAACTGCTTGCTTTGGTGCACGATACTTGCTTGTTATAAGCATGATTTGCTCTTGCATATCCCAAGTGCAACCATTCCAAAAGGGGAAATATGATAAATAGAAAGTTAGCAAAACTCCAGGAATAAAAAATAAAAGAGTTTATCCAGAGTCCCAAGGGAGCTTTTTAAGTACAGAACATAAAGCTAGCAAGTTGCAGTTGCTAAGACACATGGATGTCAAGGCTCAGGAGAAGTGTCTACCTAGACAATTAATAACATAAGCAAATAACACCCAGATATGAAACTGCAAATAGAGTCAGTCCTTTAAAAAGGTTTTGCATATTAGCACCATACCCTTGAAATTAATCTTTCCTCCTTTAGCATTCTCATATCTATTGCAAGTTAAGTTGCTATGATATGTGCTGAACTACCTTTCATGCCAATGCTGGCATGCCATTCTGTGAAGATGCTGATGAAAGAAGAGTTCATTTTACATGGAGCTGGTGTGCTACATGAGTGTTGCTATGATCATGTCCAAAGGCTTGACTTTATGGAAGCTGCCAACAGACCTGGTTGAAAAAATACAGTATTCTGAAAAATAGCCCCGTCTTTTTCATAGCCT